TAGCAGCCGCATGACTACATGATCTCCCTAATCCGGCGATACAGGAACAGCCGACTGTCTCCACTACTCCACTTTCTCTTAGCATTGCCCATGCTAAGTGTTTCGCTTGATTAATACTCTGGCTCGGCTCTACAGCTGCTTTAAGAAAAATAAAGTCGCCTTGTTTGTTGAGCAGTACTTTATCAATTTTGTTGCTGTGCAGGTAATTATACGCCTCGCTGCTCTTGTAATTACGTAATTCCTCGCCATCAACGCCTTCGGAAAATACAAGGTAATTAATAATGTCGATGTAGCTAACATCGGGCCATAGTTTCATGTCATCTACCCACTCTGTGAGAAGTGACGGGTGAGGCACTGCAACTGAACTGTCCTCGCTGCTTTTTAAAACATCTCTACTGTGTATCCACCTTCGATGTGTTGCCATTTACTCCAGGTAAAAGAAACTGCAGTGAGAGAAATCTTAATCAACAGTGAAGGTGTAACCCCGCAACTGTCAACAACAGCGCAAGCGGAAGTAAAAAACCGGCTTCCGCTATGAATCGGGGTAATGGCGCGAAATCAGAAATACTGTGGATAGCCTCTAGGTAACAAAAGCTCTTCTGTTGTCTGTTGTACGTGTTTTGGAGTTTTTATGTGTTTTGAAGTTTGTACGTGCTTTTATGTATTCACTCCACATAAAATGTAATAAATAAATCATATAATACAAAAAACAGTGGTTTTAGTCACAGTTCAACTTTTAACTATTTAAATTTTCAGCTTTTTCCTTTTAAACAAATTTAAAATGAAACAACACAAAACACTGCAAACCACAACACAATTAAATATAAATTAAAATATGAAAACAAAAAGACGATGCATATTCTCTGTCATATAGGCCTGCATGAATAAACTTTCTGAATCCTTTATCATCCACAATAGTTGTGGATGATTACTATACCTTTCTAAAGTGACGTTGTTCTCCCCGGCTCTCTCTCTCTCTTTCCCTCCTGCTCTGTTCCTGTGCTACTGAGAGTGTAACTACCGCCCCTCCCCCCTCTTCCCAGCGCAAAGCACAAGGCTTGCATGCTGAGTGAAGCGGGAAAAAAGTGCGAGAGAGGGTGAGAGAAGGTAAAAAAACAACAACACAGCTCACGATAAGGAGTTGGCTCGTGTCGTTCACGTCAAAGACCTGGCTCTAAGAGCCATTTCGTTCGCGACAGACACATCACTAGCATATAGAATTTCGAAAAAACAAAACATCGGTGCAAATTATAAGTCTGTATCATAATGTCTGGTGTTTTCGTGTTTGTTGGTTTGTTTTTATTATGCTTTATTTTGCGAGTTGGTTATTAGATGCTGCTCCTGCCAGCCGAGAATACCCCTCCGCCCCGCCCTCTCCTCACTGTGCCGCAAGCAGCGGGCGCACCTTGCAAACGGAGGGCGCCCTTACTCCCAGCAAATGGGCGATAGATAGTGCCTATGCCATCCCCAGTATGCGCTGGCATGATGTCGGGGCAGCATGAGTACGAGCAATTTTTTTATTTTGCCGATGCCCGTGATTTACACACACAAGGGGAAACCGAACTAAACATCAATACTATCTGTCACTACCCGATCCGTACCGGAAACCCGATCAGTACCCCGCATGCGCGAAAGGTCTCTACTTCCGGTCGTAGTGTTTTACGATAGTTATGGGTCAGAGTATCTGTTAAGAATAACAAGTATATCTTAAAATGTTTGCAATAATGAAGCATTTCAGTACAATGTAGACAAAAACGAAAAATAAAAAGAAAGTTACGGATCAGGACTCTCCGATCCTTACTGCGCATGTGTAAAGTCTGACCGTACAAATCGGGTCTACCCGATCCGTACCGCGCATGTGCAGATGTTTTTTTTTCTTCTTCTGTTCATTTAATGGCAGTGTACTCCCCAGTGTACGAGGATACCGCCACCTGCTGACCAAGCGAATTAACCCTATTATAAACTGAATTATCGTCATTACAAACGTGTGTTAAATCTGATTTAGCGATAGTCGAGTGTGTTTATGCTTGTCTGTGAGGAGAGGATTGTTGGAATAGTGATGATGATGTGCGCCATCACTGTCAATTGTCAAACACTTCATCTGGCTGATGAATCTACACGTGAGATATTACAAAGTCTGCATTATTAACTCTGTAATTAGGCGCCATTCTTCTTATTTTACGGCGCTGTTGCTCAATCGGGGGACTCTCTCTGTTGAGGAGAAAAGCATGAATTTCTTTGTATACGGATTATCCACTGTTTAAATGTCAGTCGAAAAGGAGGCAGAGCTGTTGAGAAATGCTAGGAGCTAACTGGGCGCTAACCGTATCAGTCAAATATATTGAATGTGCAATGTTGGCAAAGAGAGGAAGTGACGTAAGATTTGCGCATGCGGGGTACCGATCGGGTTTCCGGTACGGATCGGGTAGTGACACTATCTACGCACAAAATAACCTAGCTAAACCTAAAATACCCCCCTAACTGACAAGCACATGGTTGGTTCTGAGTCTTCAGGCCTTGGCCACACCTTTTGCCCAGACAGGAAACAGCCAACTCCCCAAACCAGGAAACTTGAAAAAAAGAGAAACCTAATTAATATAACAGAATACATCTTAGAAACCAAACAGTGCTCTTATGTGTGTGTTTTGTAATATCACTGTAAGTAGAGAAGTTAATGAATTATGTTACTGAAATTAATGTTTAGCTGCAAAACAAAACTAAGGTGAGTGTGTATGGTGTTATTTTTGTGCCACTATTCTGAGCGCGTGTAAAAAAAATTTGAGCGCACGTAAAAAAAATTTGCAGGTGCAAGTGTTGCATTTTGAGGAGAAATTTATTTTGAGCGAAGAAAAGCTAAATTTGAGTGAACAAAATTCATTGCTGCGTGCAAAAAAATGTATTTCAGTGTTTGCTATTATCCATACACACATTTCTGCCCGTGCACATTCAACTCTTTCTGTAAACCGTTATAGTTGTGCCACAAAACCAGCCAATCACAGACTTGGATGCAAAAAAATCTGATTGTCTGTTTTGGTCTCCAATTAGCTCGAAATGATGAAATGCAATATCCCAGAATCCATTTCGTCCAAAACTCAAACGAGGCAGTGGCGGAGGAACACAGAGTGGCAGAGTTTGAAATATTACTCTTTCTGGGTCACGAAATAAACTTTTAAGATATTTTCATGCGAGAACGGTGCTGTGTAAACTTCAAATATCTGCTTGATTAACAAGACATCACATATTTGCATATTTGCTTATGCTTTGGGTCCCCTCGAACCAAATAATCGTCGTATGAATCTTTCAGCCTACCTGGAAATTGTTGCTCATGCCCATCCCTTCATGACCACAGTGTACCAATATTCTCGTGGCTGCTTCCAGCAGGATTATGTGCCATGTTACAAGTTCTTGAACTTGACAGTGAGTTCACTATACTCAAATGGTCTCCACTGTCAAGAGATCTCAGTCCAGCAGAGTGCCATCAAACCCCAAAGGTTTGATGGCACTCTGCATGGAACCAGACAGGCATCCTGGACATGCAGCTGACAAGTCTTCAGTAGCTGTGTGATACTATCATACCAATATGGACCATCATCTAAGAGGGTTAGTTCCAGTACCTGGTCAAATATATACTGTGAAGAATTAAAGACGTTTTGAAGGCAAAAAGGGCTTCCAACCTGCTACTAGTAAGGTGTACCTTCTGTACAGGTGACTTTATTTAGGATTTGCTAACTTTGTGATTAATTTAACATTTTCCTATGATTGCTACTTATGGCCAGTGGTCTACACACTTTTCTAGTACAGATGTGTGTATAAAGATTTAAATGCTCCTGATTAACTGATGTGGATTTGCACCAGTTCCTCAGTATGATGGGACGCTTGTGTGGCTGCTGTATTATTCACATTGCTTTAAAAGCATGTCAAACTGATTACAGGAGTTTTAGTAGAAATATCTTGTCCTGTCCTACTACCTCAGGAGTAACATGTCAGCTCAGCTGCAGGGAAAACCTCCTATCCTGTATTCAACTGGAGGAGTTGAATGCTTCCTGTACTGGAATTCAGCCAAAATTTTAAGGCTGTCAGTTTAAATAATTGTTAAGGTTAAGTTCTGTAGTTATATTTTATTGCAGCTCTTATGTAACAGGCTCCGCATACATGTTTCTACTGACATTTAAAGCTTTTCAGTTACTTTTTTAGTCAAGTCAAATCCTATTAGCTCTCCTTGATGACATAATTTAGCCAGTGACTTATAAACCTTAATCAAGCCACAATAACTATTCCATCCTCAACATATTTTATCAGTATATTTGGACTTAAGTAAACTTCAAAAGTCCTTTATTTGGTGTTGACATTTAATTCCCACAGAACTGAATAAGGCTGAAAGCCAGTTACATTTTCACTTTAAATTCATGTCAGCGAGAACCGTAGGTCAGGCTGTGTTTTGTGCAACAGTCCAGAATTACTTCTGCATCTCTAGGGAGTGGAGGATTTCTGTAATGGTGTTTTATTTTACCTATTGCCACCTATTTCTTCAGTCATTTTCATTATGCAAATGGAGGAAAGACGTTATCCTGTAAATAACAGCAGCTAAGTGCCCTTCATCGTCTTTAGTCCACTAAAGCTACAGTTAAAAAAACAAAACATTAGACCCCTTGCTTGCTTTAGCCTAACACTGCAGGCTAACATCAGCTGATTCCAGTTTTTGAACGTCTCCAAAGTAACTTCACTAAAGCCTTAAATTGCACACCGTCTCACTCTTGTTGGGATTTGCAACCATCGTTAATCCTTCTTACACTTCGGCTTGCAGATTGAAGGTGGGGGAGCAGGAAAAGCTGGGAGTCCTTGATAAAAATGGCCAAGCTGGTACGCAAAAGGTCACCACAACAGGATCTATCAGGCAACTGACAGAATAGCGAAACACTGCATAGCTGAAATAGGCAAGGGGAGGTCTGCATGGTATTGTACCACTCTCAGTCACTCAAACAAAATCATGTCAAAGATGATTTTATCTTAAGATATTTTATTAATATTTTCAATTGACAGTATCAGCCAAAAAACAAACACTGAAAACCAAAATCCTTTCATGGCAATGATACACAAGAGTTTTAATTGAACAAGATAGTTTCAGGAAAAACAGAGATGGAAAATTAATATCAGCTCCATCACAGATTATAAATGCAATCAATTCAAACACATCTGTCTGCAGTTTTCTTTGACTATATTGTATCTAATGCAAAGTTGAAAAAGCAAGGGAACGAAGGGGTCAGTAAAGCTGGGGTTAAGGTATAGCAGTTATCATCAGGGCATTTTGGTGGCATTAGGGAGACTTTTGGTCAGTTGCAAGTCACGCACAGCATGGGCAGGGATGAGGTCAGAAATGGAAGATGTGGGAGGGTTACTAGAGAGAGCTACAGGGATTCAGATGGGTCATGATTATTAGAGGTAAGGTAGCAAAAAACAAAACAAAACAAAACAAGGTTTAGAGAAGAAGAGCTGTTGGTGCTAACAGTGCACTTATCATTCAATCTGAACCTGTTACTTTGAGAGAGGGGAGGGGCTTAGGTAATGATTGGGGCGGGAGGTGTCTGGCACATGCACCTGATATACATATGTTGCCACTCAGATGGAAGTGGAAGTGGTCTAGGGGAAGAGGGTGGGGCAGGCAGAGCAAATGATGATATGCGAACAGAAAGAAGGAAGAGTCACACAATTGGCTCCCTGCAGAGGACAATTTCCAACTCGCCACGGTAGAGCTTCCCTCCGTCAGATAGGCTCATGATGCTCTGCTTGTAGCCCGACAGATTTGTGGGGTCCACCTCCTGAATGAGAGACAGGGTGATATGATACACTGAGGAGGCCAAAAAGCAACATGTTATGATCCTATAGCTCATTTTGATGAATATTCTCCTACTCTCCTCCCAGCATTAGGTTTTGATTATTTTCAAGATATTGAGGAAACTAAAAAATGTTAGTATGTTTCTGACTAGAAACCTGAATGACAGAAAAGTAAATCCAAGGCAAGTTCTTTTGTTTTGATTGTTCTATCTCTTTGAAGTTAAAAGGTTTGGAACAAAATAGTGAAAAGTATTCCGAGTTGTATTTTAAGCATAAGAACTTATGATTGCAATCATCTTTTTTCCTCACTAAAACATTTTGTTTATGGAGCATTTCTGTAATATATTACAAAGACCAGTTTTTAGAGTATCCACATTTGCTTGCCGGAGCTCAGCATATGGCCACTCACTCATCAAAACATCACTCTGTAGTACTGCTGGCGAGGGGGAGAAAAAATCTACATATCTCAGGATAATTTAAATGGGGTTCTGTTGGGCTTGAATTCAAGTGTTTATCTTTCCAAAGAGTGCTTTAAACAGCTTTGGTAGCTAATGTTGAAGGAAAGACCTACTAGGCTTTGTATGGATATACAGCCCTTTTGCTAAAAAGAGCTGAGACACTCTGTAGACTATAAATGTTGCAGTTATGTGCAGTTCATTTTGCTAGAATACTAAATGCACTAAGTGAGATCTTGAAACTTTTCTGTCTCACCCTGGACAGGTTGCTAGTCGCTGGTGTATTCCACGGGACTACCACATTCTCATCCTTAGTCTGTGCTCAGTTTTGATAGAAGTCCATGCAGGCACAGGCAGGACATTCAAACTCTGCACAAAAAGGCTTAAGCCAACCAAGAGGTTCAGCTTAGGAAGGGATTTTTTTTAATTCTAAGACATTAATACTAACCACTGCACCACTGTGCCACCCACATTTAGTTTGATTTAATGTATGCCTTACTGTGATGTCAGCCAAAAAGTAATATACGCTCACTTCTAATTAGCCTAATAAATACATCGTTGAGGGAGGCGATAAACTATTATTACCCTTAAATCAGCACCAGGGATACCATGGACTAGCAGAATGCTCTGTTTAAAATACCTTTTTAGACCACAAACACGTTGGATTGAAGAACCCAAAATAAAAACTAAGGAGTTCAAAGGCAAGCCACATGTGGTGCATACACATATGCTTATCTTAGTATCCGCCAATCTTCTTCTTTCAGCTGCTCCCTTTAGGGGTCACCACAGCAAATCATCTGCTTCCCCAATCCTTAGCATCTCTCACACCAACCCTCTGCATATCTACATCTACATACTACATCCATGAACCTCCTTTTAGGTTTTACTTTTTTCCTCCTTCCTGGCAGCTCTATATTCAACATCCTTTCTCCAGCTTATCCACTATCCCTCCTCTGCACATGTCCAAATCAGCCTTGCCTTTCCAACTCTTTCTCATGAATCATGCACATCTTAGTCACTCCAATAAAATTCTTAACATCTTCAACTCTGCCACCTCCAGATCAGCCTCCTCTCTTTTTATTAGTGCCCCTGTCTCCAAACCATACATCATAGGATCTTTTAAACCTCCCCATTGCGCTCTTTTCAGTATGCACTAGCAGGCTGTAGGTCTGATCACCTTGAGTGAACACCCGTCTTACCTTCTTGTTTGTTTGGTAAAGGTCTCGTAGCAAAGCGTCCAGCTCCTGCTCATCGATGTAGCCATTTCCATCCTGGAAGGAGTCACCAAAAACATCATGATTGTAATTTTCACTTACAAACAATCATAATGGAGACAAGTAATTACCGTTAATAATAATGATACTGTACCAAATTTTACCACAGCTTTTGAAAATATAGATGTCACATATATATTTTCATTCCCTTCTTGTAATTCATTCTTTAAAGTAAAGGCAGTCTTTTGTCAACAATGTTTTGATTCAGAGCTACTTGATTTTTCCTTTCGCTGCTGCTCGACTTCATTCATTCAGTATTTTGTGGCAGCAATCAGCAAATCATTTAAAAAAGACTTCCCATTCAAAACTCTGTGTATGGGGTTAGTTGCTAAGTTAATACGGAGCCCCCTTGCTAATTAATGAGCTCACAGCCGTGTTTAGAGAGTTTAGGGCCAGAAAATAAGCCCAAATTATTGGACATTTTCCCTTGGCAAGTGGCACAAAACATGTTCTGTTCATCTAGGCTCGGTCTCAAGATGACTTCAGAGCTGAGTGTCTTGCCAGTCTTATATTTTTTTTTAACTCTGGGAGATGCTCTTTGATGTTCACAAAGCCAGACTGAAGTGTCCTAGATCTTGGGAATAAAGTGTAAATTCTATTTATTTTCCCTTTAAGGATAAAAGACTCTGCACTCTGCAGCGCTATGGGAAAGCAGAGCAACATCAGGTATGAGCCAGTCTGTCTTCCACTCCACGCCATCTTGCTTTTCAGACATTTTCAAGTCTTGCACAGTGTGGGTGGGGCCATGGCACTGTGAGCCACGTTAGTGTTCAGCTGACCGGCCACACTTTGCCCAGCCACTCGGCAGATGCCTGTGTTTCTGCTGCAGGGGCTTGAGCTCATAACAAAATGATGAAACTAATTACACACATAAATGCAAGTGCTCCATATGCAGAGGGGGGACTACATGAATGGACGGCAGTGGCTAATCTATAATTAAACATTCCACCCTGTCCTCTACTAGTGAACTAGAGAGAGTGAAGAGAGTGCAAGCCTTCAGTCTGACTCAAGTCATGAATACGCACGCAACCTCCAACCCCCCCCCTCCCATCGCTGCCATGGACGGCTCTATACAAATTTGCCAACCATACTACTTAGTATGGGACAAAAAGAGAGCACAAAAACACAGAGGTTGAAAACATGAATAGCTGTTTGTTTTTATTCTTTTTCTAATCACAATGTCAGCGCACTGACATGATTTAAGGTCATGGACTTACATGGTCTGGCCTTGTGCTTCAAAGTGAACTTAGTAGATAAACGGGCATTTTGCAGCCCTTCTACTTGTTGCTACAGCAGGGCACAGAAAACTATTTCCAATTTTTATTTTTTTGTTATTGACCTAAAAAGTCCCTGAGTGTCTGCATCCTGTCTTCTCGTGTGTGCAAGGCTGCACGTGAGCAGTGTAGCTGTTCTGTCATAGGATAGAAGACATGAAGCAATTATAATATACATGCTACATTTCAAAGTTTTGCATTTTGTAGTTTCATGTAGTTCACATTAGGATATTGCCCATCTTTTGGTTACAAAGGGGATGAATTTCAGGCAGCAGTTGAATCACTGTTGCTGAAAAAGCAGTAAGGCGCATACTTTAATTTACTTTAATTAATTTACTTTCACTACTCTATTTCATCACTAATATAAATCGGGGAAAAATGAAAAGCATTTTGAACATTAAGGTAATGCTAACAACTGGGCTAAGAGGCACCAGCGCTGTATTACATCAAACTGAATTGTTTATTTCTGCAAAAAACTGAGTCAGCCTTCTTATAGCTACTTAGATTATGGCTGGTCCCTCAGCTGTGCAAAACACACACGATACCATAAACAAGAAAAATGATATAACAGATGCACAGAGCGCTGCTCTCTCCCGTCTTGTACCATAGTCCCTCCCCACCGTTCTACTGCTAATGTGGAAAATATGCCCATTAACCAAACCACTGCTCAGCCACCCTGGGCTGTTTACAAAAGGACAGGTGTGCCAAGCCTGACTCATTTCCCTAGGTAAATGAAGAGTGCCCAAGGTAAAAGACAGAATTTACATATTCATGATTTTAACAAAAAGGGATCTCCTAAACAAACAGCACTGAGTCACCCAGACAGCTTGACTCAAGCTGGCGTGTTTTTACACTGTAAAGAGTCCCACCCTTATTCAGACACACTTCCATTCTGTTTTTCTGTCTGTCTTTGTGTGGACTAACCATTAATTATTTTCACAATGATTTCACGAGCATGTAACAACAGCCTGAAGCCTTAAACGTTTCCCCATAGGTAAGACTCATGGGAGACGGAGCTGTCGCTAACAAAATAACTAGATATGATGAGGTTCTCGTGTGTTGTTGTTGCAGATGCCAATCTAGCTCAGAACACATGGAGGAAATCCCCGGGAGAGCTCCCAACGTTGCAGAAAGACAGATCAAAGAATCCATTCTTGCCAAAGTACACTAAAGCAGTTGTTCTGAAACTTTTTCTGACATATCCTTCTGAGACTGGAAAACATGCCCCACAACCCACAATTATTATCAGTTATTAACAATAAAAAGAAAAAATCAAACCTGGTTTTTGATTAAAAAAAGAAGGCCAAATAGTTTCATCACAGTCTTGGTTCTTTTTCTTTTTTGATTTTTCTTTAAAAAAAAATCACATTTATTGAATTTCAGTTTACCACTTTTGATAACATGTCACCTACCTTGTCATAGTATGTGAAGATGGCATTGAACTGCTCAGAAGTCAGCTTGACACCCTGTAAACACAAGGTTTCACTTTAATTACAAGACTACAAAAAATCAATAAAGACATGTATATGTGAAACTAATTCAGACCCAGTATACTTTGTTTTCTGTCACTTATGAACTCCTACTGTGGTGCAGAGATGGGCACGCGTTACAAGTAACGCATTACTGTAATCCGATTACTTTTTTCAAGTAACAAGTAAAGTAAGGGATTACTATTGCAAAAATGGTAATTAGATTACCGTTACTTTCCCATAAAAACGATGTGTTACTGCATTACTAAAACCGTGATTTCTTTGCAAGAGTGTCTCATGACAGTGACATAAGCGAGTAAGACATTTGTGACAATAGCTGTGTGCAGATCAACAATGGATCATATATCGAGTGCGGGAGAGAGTATGAGCATTCAGCATTTAAAGTGTGGAAGTACTGACCTTACTTTGAGTTTGATTCCATAAAAAGTGACATTAGTGTCCGTTGTGTGTGGGAAGAAAACTTCTTTTTACAGCGAAAAAAACCCCTAAACTTCCGAGCAAGCACCGAGTGCGCTACGACGTAATGGGAAACTCACAGAGAAACTCGCAGATTCTTTAACTGATATTTTTATAATATTTTAATATTTTATTTTATCTGCTGGAATGTGCAGAAAATAGGTTTAAATATTAAACAAATTTCTTCCAGTCAGAGAATGTTGCATATAATTTAATTTTTGCTTGATGCATAAAGTTAAAAGATTAAAACTAATAAAACAAGTTTTAAAAAGATACTTTTCCATTTGATTACATTTTGTATGATGGATTATGCAGAAAAGGTAGAATTGGGCTGAAAGATCTATCGCTTTATTACCTATTCAGGTTGTAAATCATGTTTTTAAAAAGTAACTAAGTAACTAAGTAATTAATTACTTTTGAAAATAAATAATCAGTAAAGTAACAGGATTACTTTTTTGGGGAAGTAATCAGTAATTAGTTACTGATTACTTTTTTCAAGTAACTTGACCAACACTGCTGTGGTTTATGCTCATATGAAACATGGTGAAATTTTCAAATAAGGAGGGCAGTTTATAGTCAACTAATTGCTGTTAGCCAAAACCTCAAGCTTGATTTCACAGAGAAGTCTTCTCTACATCTGACTCTGTATGTCAGCTGAGGATGGATATCTCTAATATGGTCTGGCACACAGCTCTGTCTCTAAGCAGAGAAGCCCCGCCCACAGCCTTTTCCACCCCGTCGGTTATGAGGGGCAGCCAATCAGATGAAAGTTGGCTTCAAGTGGGAGGTGCTACAACAGCTTGTTTCAGACAGTGGATGAATTGATATGAAGCAGTAAGACCCACTATAATACATATAAGGATTATTTTAAACTGTGAATTATACAAAGCTACTCTTGAAGAGTCAATGAATATCTACTTTAACCATCATCAAAAACAGGCCTATGAATCATAAATTTGTAAAATGGTTACAGTGTATTATGTAATTCAGTGGCGTTCTCCGAGTATAATATATCATTTCTGTTTTGCTTTTATTTCAGCCCCATGTTTGTCCCCTACCTGGAATTTCAGCAGGAAATTCTCCTGTACAGGAAGAAGCCTGCGGCAGAGAAGGACTTCATTAGTGGACACAATAGTTGTTAAATTATTCACGTTCTTTGACAGTGAATGAGCATCAGCGGGCAGTGTGCTTCAACATTTACACAATGAGCAAAAACAAGCAAAATTACATTTTACCTTGCCATCTCTGACAGGCCCAGCTTCCCATCTCCATTCAGATCAAACATCTTGAGCTACAAAGCAGAAGTAGAACAGAGGAGAAAGTGAAAGGAAGCTTTTTATAGGTATACTCTGTCAAAGTAAAGGTACACGTGGTTCCGTGCATTTCATTGGCTGAGACGCCGAAGGAGTAGCCATAAATTTATGATATATTCATCACTTCTTTTTTTCCTCCTTAATACTACATGTCTAACAGAGGAACACTAAAAACAGCGGTCTATAAACCTTGCTTCAGTTTTTCAGCCAGTATGGCAGGTTTTCCTTATACAATAAGTCAGAAGGTTTAGAAGAGAGTTACACTGGAGGAAAAGAATAATAAAATGGAGACTTACCCACTCTTTTACATCGAAGAGTGTTAAATTATTTATTAAATGAAAACCTACACACAGTAAAAAATGCCTAGAAGTTTTGCACTGTTGTCAGATGCAATAAGGCATCTTGATGCCACTATGGTCTATGAAAATAGTGATGAGCATTTTTATTGGCTGAACAATTAACCCAAAAAACAACTGACGGATCACTCAAACTACTTCGAGAGGTAGCGTGGGATGCATTTGACAACATGTCTGTGGTCTAATTTGTTCTGAGTAACAAGACAGGAGGAAAATATGTCACCATTGAAGGTTTGGTGTTTTTCCTGGACCCTTTTGGAAGTCAAAATTTGGACTGTACATATGTCATAACTAAATGTAATAAGTGTGTGCATAAAATCTAAGAACATTTGGTCAGCTTGATTCTTTGGAGACTGAAGGTGACACAGATGTGAACAGCGATGTGTGAATCTGATTGCACAAGTAGAGATCATGCATGGGTATAATGCCCGTTGTTGCTGGCAGTACTGTATTATTTCCTTTTCATTACGACAGTGATGTTTGGTGAGTGTAAGTTAGACTAATTTTAGTCATTAGTTTACACCTTACTTTTCATAAATTAGCAACACTGCCTGCATCATAGCAGTATGCTGATTAAAATGACTCATTCTTTACATTAATCTCAGCCTCTGTTTTTTGCTTTATCTCTAATATGTCCCTCTGCACTAGATGAAGTAACAATAAATTTGTCTATGAAGAAACTGCTTCAGAAAATTAGGTCAGCTCAGCTCTGGGGCTTCCAGGAAGAAGCAGATGTTAGCACATCTGGGCTGCAGTCTCACAACCTGCAGGACATGATGGGTCACAACCAGTGAGCCGCACAGGGCTGCAGCCACCACTATAACAGGCCACTGAGTACCTCCACAAATTGCTAGACATTTGCCTTTTATCAGAAATGTATACAGTTTAGTTTTCTTCAAGTGAAGCAACTTCTAAAGATTGTCAGCTTTTTGTTTGTCCAGTGTAAAGTTTGTCCAGTTAAACTGAGCTTGTGTGATTGAGCGTTCGAATGTGCAAGAGAGCAAGTCTTACTATGGTCTGTGTGTACTCCTGCAGCTTCTGCTCATCGTAGTGTCTGTTAGCTTTCTCCAGCAGGTCTGACAGAAAGCCCTGAGGACAGAGACACACAGGGTGCTTTTCATTATGCTAACTTGTGCTTCCTTGTATTCTCTCTCCTCCCATGAACCAAAAATCATTGCCCATCATGGAGGATCTTGCAGTGCCCTAAAATGGAAGTCTGGGTGATGAGGAGTGACTGGAGAGAAGGCTTTTGGAAAAGCTTTTGCAATTAAACATATGCGCATCCTATATGGAAGAATTTTATCAAATGCCGTGACATGAAATTACACTAAAACTAAGCATTCAGCAGCTTTAGCTCCTCCGCCTTTATATCTCTTCCTTTCATCTCTCTCTTATATCCAGGAGGAGCTAGGAAGCGAGAAAGAGACACGAGAGACTGAAGCGAAGAGGCATAATGAAAAGCACCCATGGATTAGTAAAAAGAGCCAGCGGCTGTGCCTGGTCTTTCATTAAGCTGAGGCAAAATGTCCAGAAAACAAATACAGAGATCTTAGATGAAGATGCATTTACATTTACTTAACATATGCTACCAAGCTGAAAAACTTAAAACACTCAAAACATCTGCAATAAGCCCTGGAGAATATAACCCTAACATATCAAAAAAACATAAACTTGCAAAATAAAGTTATATTCATGAGTGTTGAAGTTTGGGCTGGCTGGGTTTTTTTTCTTTACCATATTTGACAAAGAAAAAATGTGAAAATTAGGTATGGAGAGAAATGCAAGAATAAGAGAAAGAAATGACGAAAACGGGACAAAAAAGGAAGAAAAAAAACGAGACACTGAATTATTAAATTATATTTTGATTTATTGGTTTATCTGGTGTTTTGTTTTGAAATTAGAATTGAAGAGTACATGTAGAGCAGCAAACACTACAATTCCTTCTGAACTTAGCACAGTATAACATCTTCTATAAATAAAGTACTCCAGTAGCATTAGACCAAAGGTATCAGTTATGCGCTACTTGAGTCAATATTTTCCGCGCCTGCTCACAATTATGTGGTGAGACACATGTCTGCTTCCTGAGATCTCATCTGCACTTTTTCTAAAGCTTTCAAAAAGCCACACCTGAGTAACTCATCTGCACCTGGTCAGCTGGAAGAGATCTTATTCCCACAACTACCCGAGCAGCCAAATCTGTATACAACGAGTAATCACTGACCCCAATTAATCCGCAGCTTGCCACTGTGGTGCACTTTCCTTTATATAATTTGACAAAACATTTCCTAGAAGGGTTTTAATGTCTAACCTTTGTGTAATCAGTAAAGCTTTTTTTGTATCTGAATCCTCGCTACATAAAAAAGAAAAAGAAAACACTTGAGGTCAGTGGGGAATTTCCTGTGAAGCAGACATTTATCTCTCCTGAGTCAAAAGGCTCATCCATATGCTCACATGAATTAAAAAAACAGATGACACACTGAAAATATTCAGTGGCAAACAATTTATACGTCTCAAAAGAATGCCACATTCAGTTATAAGAAAAACATAAATGAATGTGACATTTCTACTTCTATCAGGTATTTAAAGTTATGTGCTGGGCAAACAGTACCTATGTTTGCTTCCTAAATGTATGCTAAACTGATTATTAATAACTGATGGCGGTTCGAGCTTCTAGGCCATTTGACCCAGCGTTTTGAATTTCCTGTGTTTTGGTGAATATGCTTTATGGTGATTTAAGGTTCATTGGTTAGTCTTGAGTTTATTCTATGTTCTGAGTTCCTTGTATTCCCAGGTTAGTTTCTTGTCTGTTAGGTTCCCCTTCTGTCTTGGTCTCTCCTCTGTGTCCTCTATGTCTGTCATGTCATCTACGTCTCTCCTCTCTCTGTGTCTCATTTCCTTGTTCCCCAGGTCCAAGTCACGTCTTTGTGTTTTGTCTCCCCTTTCTGTTTACATGTGCCCTCCTGATGTTTCATTCCATTCTCCCCTGTCTGTCATGTGCAGTCATGTTCGTTTTCCCCAACCTGTCTCGTCTCTCTCTCTCTCTCCCTCTGTGTCTCATCTTCCTTAATTGTTTCCGTGTTTCCTTTTTTGTGTCACCTTCCTTTGCCTCCCCCTGTCTGTCTTGGTCTCCTGTCTGTTCTTTCCTCCTGGTCCTATGTGAAGCTGCGTACTTGTAATGTTTCCTGTTTACTCTGACAGTGTCGCATCCTGTGTTCAGTGTGTTCGGTTTTGCTTCATCCTGTGCCATTATGTTTATTCACTCCAGCTGTCTTCCCCTTGTGTTTCCTCTTCCCTCGTTACCCTGTTCTGTATTCATGGTGTGAGTTGTCACTCGTTCTTTGTCAGGTTTAGTTATAGTTTAGCTCACTTCAGCCTTTTCGTTACTCTGTTCAGCCTATATGAAACAGCTCCCCTTTTGGTTATTCACATTTCACGCCTCGTTTTGTCTGCGTTTGGGTCCACACCACTCACCGGCCATTCAGCCTTGACACAGTGAGTGTGCAAGAACCAGGGCTGTATCCTTTTCTTTAAAAAAAATTAAGCCAAAAGCTATAGTTCCTCTTGTGGCCACTTGAGGCTGGCTCCAAAAGTGAGTCAGTTTGATCAAAAACTGTTTTGGTCTCTTAGCTTATTTCCCCTTGATCAAAACTATACAAAGATGAATTTTGTCAAAATATATGCAGGTAAATCAAAGTTCATCTTGTTAGAGATGTTTATACTGACAGGCTGTAGCTGTTAGCTATTTACTCAAGTTAATTCAGGTGACTGAACAGGATTTCTCATTATTTTAAACTGTGCTCATGGTGCTGCTGCTTTTTGAAACAGTTTTAAATGTAATTATATTGTTTCTTTAAATTGGATTGTGATGCAAATTTGAAGAGTGATACTCTAAAAGCACCTTGATAATGAAGCTAGCATCAGCTCATAACTTTGTATTTGGGGTTTGTTAGCCAAATTTGGTTGCTACGAGCTTCGAAAACAAAAAACAAAAAAGCATTAATAGACTGTTTAAAAACTAGCCATAATCCCAAAATCAAAGCCTAAAACCAGACTCCATAAACAATGGGTTACGATAGGTACGCCCATCTTTGCTATACAGTCTATGATAATGACACAAATTTTTTTTTTCCCTTTGATTTATTTGATACCAAAAACAAAGCATGCAGGTGTAACGCAAAATTGAAATATACATACAAGTATGAGTACAAATAAAGATATATTGTATATATTTAAAATGTCAATAAAATGTTGGAATGAAAGGTGTAAGAAAATAGAGATTAAAGATTTTCGGGACATGTGCAGTTTCCTAGTTCATACTATTTGATAATTACATTTTAGGGGGTGTGCTCTGTGATTGTGTGTGTTGATGTGCAAATGAATGTGTGTAGGGGGAGAAAAGAGAAAAAAATGCATAAAATAAGTATGACAACAGGTTAAAGCAATATTTGTAATAAATGAGACACTGCATGTTACTGGTCACATATGATCAAATGAATAAACATGTGTCAGTGCTTCTTAACATTTGATTTAATGCTGTTGAGAATTTACCTTCAGTTCATTTGCTTCAATGTAGCCACTGCGATCTGTATCATATCGCCTCCATGCCTAAAAAGAAATCAACGAAACAAACTGAAGCAATCGATTGAAAGCATTTTCTCAGCTCAAAAGCACAGAGAAGCTCGTCTCCAGAGTGATTTACATTCTTTCCCCTTGAATAAATCCTCTCTGATCAACTCCCAGCTTACTCTTTGACTATGCCAAGGGTTTGCCTTTTTTCTCTGGTGCACAGCAGAAATCGTTCCAGAGCAGCCGACCACAAATGCCTGGACCATCACTGTAATCATACAGTTTTCAATACAATCCTATTTGCCCACATACAGAGCAAAGGGCAACAGTGGACAAAGAGAGGAAAGAGGGGAGAGAAAGTCATTTTAATGAATGTTTTAATCTAGCAGCTGTCCCTGTCCAGAGAAGGGCTCCTTATCAAAGATGGATGGCCTTCCCCCTTCTTGTTCTCCTCCTTCTCCTCCCCTCTCTCTGCTCCTCCTCTCCTCCTCTGGGTTCTGCAGAGAGGAGCTACAGTGGTGTTATCCATTATATATGACTCTGAAAATAGAAGGCTCCGCTTCCTCATTCTAACCCTTTAAAAACGTCTCTGCCCCCTTCCTCCTCCCTGCACCCTTCAACAAAGACTGATTAATCTCCCCTCTCTTGTTTTATGCTCTCAAACTTTGGCTCTCAACTTCCCATCGACATTTCATTTACGTCTCCTCTGCTCCTGCTTTCGCTCGTTTGCCCTTTGTATCCTTCTCTCTTTGCACACCTTCTCTTTCATTCGTTTCCCTTCTCTCATTTCATTATTCCTTCTCAATATGACACAAGAGACAAGGACAGCCTCTTCCTCACATGTAATTGGTTTCTAATTGGCTTCATTTTTTCCATTTAGCAGATCTAACATGAAATCTGCCATTTTGTCTCATCTTCTTGAGATATTTGGTAGAATAGATTATTTTCTGTTTCTGCTACCTTTCAGGATATAAATCTATATCGGTCTCGAGGGTTTTTTGCTACTTCTCTTCACCTATTATCCAAAATTCAAAGTGCCACTTAAACTTCAGAAAATGTTTAGTATAAATGGTAGCAGAGTTTCTCCACTTTCCACTTAACCATTTAATAATGTGAGACAAAAGTTTCCCACAAATTTGGGTAAATGTTGATTTCTGTTTCTGGTCTCTATTGAATTTCGACTGTGTGAAAGTGCCTCCTGTTAATTCTATCTGTTAGCAAAAAGGAAGCAAGAAGTATTTTTTTTAGGAACTTTGAATAAAAAATGCAGTTTTTCAGGAGAAACACATCGATAGTGACTATAAGACATGAGATGGTTCTGCCAGAAGTTACACCCTTGGGTTCCTCAAGAGTTCCTCATCCCTGCCAGGTGCGACAGATGGCTGCCCCAACCCCACCATGGATGGTTCTGCTGGAGGTTTCTTCCTGTTAAAAGGGAGTTTTTCCTTCCCACTGTCGCAAAAGTACTTGCTCACAGGGGGTCATAGGATTGTTGTTTTTTTCTCTGTATGTATTATTGTAGGGTCTGCCTTACAATATAAAGTTCCTTGAGGCGACTGTTGTTGTGATTTGGCGCTATATAAATAAAACTGAAGTGAATTGAATTAAATAGATGCTATTAGCAGGAGGAATGGGGATGCAGCAAGCATCATCACTGATAAGACAAATATCCAATGTCTTCATATGTTTCTGTAAGATAAGCAAAAGTTGTATGTTTATTATTTTTAAGTGTCTCCAGAAAATAATCCACAGTTAGTATTAGCCTTTTACGGCTCAATTTTGTTAGCATTTCAGTTGCATACTGTGGGAGTGATTGTTTTCCTTCCTGTTGGGCATGGTTTTCACCATGAAGTTACTAAAGCTTATTCCATTTTTCCAGCACAGCCAATGAGGAACCGGCAGAAAATGTTCTCACTCCACCATCGGTGATTTAGAGTACAGCATACTTCTCCAGGCAGCAAGTGAGTCGATCAGAGCGGTTTCTTTTAACTAGTAGATAAAGATACTTTGCTTTTAATGTGTTTTATCCTGTTCTATTACGAATCACAACTGAGAGTGTCAGCTCCTCTACAAACCTCTTTCACTTTTACTTACACAAACAACCCACAACTGCTCTGTATGGGGACTCTTAGTTATTTACATCAACCAGTTACTGAGATGGCAAAGGTAACATTTCACATAAACAAATAAAGTTCTGTTTCTGTGCCCCACATGAATTTGGATGATGTTTAATATGCAGTGGGCATATTATTATTATTATTACTATTCACTCCTCCTTTTCTCTAAGCCATCTTTTCGTTATATATAAACCTTTAGCACACAAATTCAGCCATTTGTCATTTAGACCAGCAGGTCATATTCCAGATTAATCCTGTCTAACACACCTTCAATGTATACACCTTCAACCATTCATAAAGAACTGATTCATGAAATTAACTCTTAGGCAGAGAAAATGCAGGTAGCCAGCGCTCCGAGGCTGACTGACTCTGGCCTATAACTTTATGGTTGAGTGAAGTAAGTACGCCCTGGCCAATGTTAACGGTGAACAAGAACCTCCTGTGCAAAAAGTTCAAAAGTGCCTTAAAGAAGAGATCAAATAATTAAGTTGGTCAAGAGGAGTGGCAGGTTCTTATGAAAAAAATATATGACAGATATTCTCAGGAACACACTCTTACCGCCATAAACTCAGCGCTGGAGCTGACAAACTGTCTGAAGCAGAGCAAGAAGTTCTCTTCAGTTGGAAGAATCTGGGCCAGCTAGGAAAAGTGACAGGGAAATGGGAGTGGTGAGAACACAAGATGGTACAGTTGATATTCTGGGAGAGACTGGGGAAGCTTTTTGTCTGCAAGGCCTCAAATGGGCAACTCAGCATAAATAATAGAGAGCCACAACCTCAGAAGCACAACTATGCCTAAGTTAGAAATATTTATTAAAATACATATTTTTAGCTGTTCAGACAAAGACTATAAACTACATGTTCACACAACCAAGTGGACTGCACACTCATTTACTTCTCTGGCAGCACTGGATTATTGATATTGCAGAAGCCCTATTTCTCACAGCTTTGTCAAATCACTGTGAAAGTGGTCAAATCGAGGAAAACCAATATCCTAAACTGATGGTCTATAGAGAACATCACGAAGACCGCATTTATGCAAGCAGTTAAATATTGACCAGACTTCTGGGGTCTTTATTTTTGGATCGCTGAGTTATCTGAGCTCTCTTTTTGAACCTTTTCTCATCACTCACAATGAGCAGAAAACCTTCACCTTTATTTTGCAGTCTGTTTATGGTCTGATATCCAATGCACAAGACTCATATACAGTGTGTCATGTGAGCTTCTTGCCCCCAGCTTTCCATGTCTGCACATGTAAGGGCAGTGAGCTTCCACAAGAAAGTCATTCTCCCAAATGTAAATGACTGGAAATAACAATCCTCCTTTGACTGTGGCAGTGATATCTGAACTAAAGGTTTCCCAAATCAGTTTAAAATTCAAAAAATCACATGAAACAGGCCTAAAAGTGATCACAATAAACATGCAATGTAAATGTAACGCCACAAATTGTTGTTTTCGGAATTTTTACATACTGAAAAAAAATGACAGGTGAAGCAAGAAACATTAATTATGCCATTACAATGAAATGTTCTGCTGGGAAACTTTGGGCCCTGGGTCCAAGAAGTGCTGCATACGTATGTTACTTTGCCAAGTAGTAGTCAACTAAACATTGTTGCAAACCAAGCAACACTCCATATGGCGCTCCCAGTCAGCAGCAGCCACTGCCAGCAGAACAATGTGCTCCACCACACCACAGAAACTATTCAGGAATGGTTCAAGGAACAGCTCCTTGAGCTGTTAACTTGGCACCAAAATTTCTTGGCTCCAAAATTCCCAGAGCCCACTGTGATCGAGAATTCACAAGAAGCCCCACCTAGCTGAGCCACAACACCAAAATGATTCCGTGCTAGAAACCACTGGACACTCATAGAGATTCTGTGGCCTCGGTTTTCTGGGTTAAACATTTTAGGCATCAGAAGGGAGACCTGCATAATATTGTGTAGGTGGTTTAAATGTTGTGGCTGATTAGTGTATCCTATTTAAGTGACCAGTAATTACTCATGCACTCTATGCTAAGTTAAGCTAACTGTCAGCGTAGTCAGTGTTTGGCTATTTACAGTAAATTTGTCAAAAAAGAGAATGTGAAATCATCCTGTCGTCCGAGCTGACAGTCGGTCATTATTGGACAGTCAAGGTTCTCATTGTCTTCTTCTTGTAAGTGGGTACCCACCCTCTTTGCATTACTGGTAGTTATATCTTTAAGCTAGGCTAAGATAAACGACTTCTTTTTGTTTTATGTGGGAGCAATGATCTTCAATCCTAATCATTGTAAAGAATGTGAAAAAACCCATCCATCTATCCATTTTCTGCTGCATATCTGAGTCCAGGTTGAGATGGTATATTTCTCAAAAAGTCAAATCAATCTTTGGTGGAGCCTAGCTGTTTCTAATCTTTATGCCAAGCTAAACTGTGAAGCTGCATATAAACGTTTTGTATCAATCTTTTCATCCAAACCAGGGAAAGAAAGCAAAAATGCATATTTCCCAGGCAGTCGAGCTGTTCTGTTAAATAAAATCTATAAAATAAAGAGGTCCTCTGAGGCCTTACCTCTGACATCTCAATTCGTCCATCTTTGTTCTTGTCGAACTTCTGCATGAACTCCTTCATCTTTTCTCTGAATGTAGGATTTGTAGGGTCCTAGGAAGCAATTTTACTCAACATAAGTGAAGCCTGAGTTGTCAGTGTGTAGATATGTGATTAATTCCTGGCCCCTGAACTCACCACCCCCGCTCCTCTCCGAGCCATCTCCAACTCTTTGAAGAAGTTCTCCAGCTCCTTCCCCTCGATGTATCCATTACCTTGGAACAGAGAGACCATAATTGCATGTTAATGCAACATCACAAATGGCATTGTTTTTCTGTTTTTTTTATTTTTTACCAGTAGTGCTGATGTGCAAAAAGTTCCCAAACAGAGACACGGTCACAGTGTCAAACAGATCCCAACGTGGCCTGGGTTTGCCCTGGTATTGATTCAAACACGAGCCTTTCAACAGTAACTCTTTTCCTCCCCTTCTAAAAGATTTCATTATTGACTGCCACAGTGATCACTCTTCAAAAGACTTTGTGTTCACAAGATTGGATGCCAGGAGAGGCTATATATGGGAAATAACTTTTCTTTGATATTCAAGGTGATGATTCATGGGCCACTTCGGTTATTCAGTAGTGATCAATACTGCATTCAGTGGCAATCTGGCAGATATTAAGCAGACGAAAATAAATGGTTAATTTAGATATAGTTCTAGCCTATATATGCTTTTTTATTTGAGATAACTTAAACTCTGAAAGTGATATTTTGCCAAGAACAGTGTGGCTTTCTACAATCCTTTTGAAAATATCTTAACCTTGGTTTGCTGTGTGCCACCAGTCATTTTGACAAGCTGTCATAATGACTGATGGCACGAGTGTCATTTTTTGCCAGGCGGCGCTTAATCTGTGATCGTGTCAATCATACTTTTTTGATTCTTTAATGACAAATTTATCTTGCGGTGGCCACAGAGTTGATTTTCATTTTTCTCTCATCCTATTTTATTCTTGTTCCTGTTGTTCTGTTGCCCTGACAGTTCCTATTCGGAGGACAAATGAGGGTGCCCGCTTCACCCAGGTAGTATGTGAACCGGTGCCAATATTCTTTCAACACTCCTGCTGAATGGCCGGACAGATGGCTCCAAACGATGTGACTAGCTGCTTCAATAAAACCCTGGAAGGCAGTGCTGCCTCATTAAACGCTAACAAAGATTATTATGCCATCCACTTCCTTCCGCCTCTCTCTAACTTTCTGTCTCTCTTTTTCTCCCTCTGTCATTTTCAATCTAACTCCTTCTCTCTATTCAACTAAACTCACAACATCTTTTATCCAAGGAAATTGTGTGTGCGTGCGTGTGCATTCCTCAGTGATGTTATCAAAACTCATGAATACAAACTCTGCTGTTTTAATGAAAATGTGGGACAGTGAAATGCTCTGTTGCTGTCGAGCCTCCCTCCTGTGCCTCTTATTTGACATTTAGCACTGTAGAGAGAAATGGCCCGCTTGGTAATTAAACAGAGTAAGTATGATGTGATTAACTACAACATAACTACAGCATAAAAATGTAATAAAAACAGATATATGAAATGATTGTTTGGGGATGCGCTCATATGCTCAATAGATGCAGCAATAGACCCATTCATTTGTGCAAACCACCATCTGTTAATGCTTTCACACTCTGTTTATTCAAAAGCAGGATAAGCAAGTTCTGTTTCAAGCAGCCTTTAAATAACAACAGTATGTTTAAGGTATGAAATGCTGTGTGTGCTGCTGACTAACGTCAGTATGTACAGATTGTATTGAAGTGTCCCAGTTCCAGTGTAGACATTCAGACCAAATAGCAGTATGTGAATGTGCATCATTGCCAGCAGCTACATTTTATGGCTGATTTCACCTTACTCCCAGATAATTTTGCTCAAATGTCAAATATATACTTTGCACAGCGCAATGAGAACATTCCTGCCAACTTGTACTTTTGTCTTTCTGCACACGCACTTAAAGTTTGTACCTAGCACCCAGATACTGTAAAAGGTTCACAAAAACCACTTTAGACCCAAATAAACACTTTTTCATCACTAGTAAACATTTAATGCATCACTAGACCATTGGGACAAGCTGGTAAAGTGATTTTACTTCTGGTTATTTATTCTATAATCCAACCCCGACCGGGAAAAACTCTCAAAGGGGCCAGTTGTGCCAACTAAGTGCATATTTAAAGCTTATATAAAGTGCATTTGCCTTTCAAAGGAAAGTGGAGCCCTGTCTATTCAAATATTTTGTGTTGAGCTCACAGCTGGGTCAATTCAGGAAGTAGATTCTGCTTAGTGTTCCAAATTGTTTTTATCCAGGTCAATAAGAAATAATTGACAGCAAATCTGCTATAATTAGCAAACGAAACTGCAGTTGTTTCCTTTTCCAGCTTTGAAGTGACTGAATTGAAAAGGCTCGAAGGAGACAGCAGGGAAAGATGAGAGGGACGCTTGAGCAGAGGAGCTGCAAGAGACGCAATCCAGATGAGATTTGATCCTGGGCCAACCAGGGGAATATGTGGTTTCATCATCTCTAGGTGCATCGCCTCTCATGTATTTTTATCTCGAACTCAGAGATATTTACTCAACCTGAACAAACAAATTAGCTCTCGTTTCTTTCTGCTGAGCCAGAAGACACTCCCATTAATGAGTGCAGAAATCAGACTCAGTAGCCAAATCTGTGGAAGCGTACTGGTTAAATTTGATTTGCAAAGTGGCTCACTGCAGAGCAAAATATGTAAAATACCACCGCTTAAGAACTTAAGTACCTGGGTGGTTGGACTAATATCCATACGCTGAAACCATGATGAGCAATAAGAGCCATAACAACCTTCTCTGCACAGCGGCTCATATGGAGGAGCTCAGCTGTGGAACCTCTCTGCCCCACCCGAAATGTCCCTCCACCTTGATTTCCCTATGGAAAGCAGTTCAGCAAGTGTGCCAGCATCAAAACACATCATGGTGACAATAAACTCTCGGGAGGATGTGTTTAAAGCAAATAGGTGTGGCACACTTGCCTCATCTGCAGGTGTGATATGGACATCTTGGAGAAGTAGACTGTATATTTTTAAAATAATGGCCAGTTGTAGCCTCATCATGTTTACATCACTGCCAGAGATTCATGAAAAAGTGAATGAGATGACAGATCTTGACTACTATTTTCAACAGGGTTCGTAATATTGTCAGTTTGATATTAGATCCCAGTTATGTGGCACATTAAAGCACACAGTGACTCTATTTTAAAATCTAAAAAAGACTCTAAAAACCTATAACAGAATAATTTATAGGTTTTACAGGCAGCAACTGATGGTCTTCTTATCAGACTGCTGTATAGTCTATCCATCAGTTTGCAGAAAGCCTTCAATCTGCTGAGGAGTCTGCAGACCTTCAAATGGAATGAAAGCATCTCTAATCAGGCTTATAAAACTTTCACTACTGTGGTGACATGCTGATGAATTTGTCATAGAGACATCCACACACAGACAAAGAGTGATATAAAGAGCACTGAGACAAGAAGGTAAGACAGCACTGAGTCATTTGATGACAAAAAATGCAAGGGCGTATGTTGGATATTAATGGGAAAATAAATTGTCAGTAACAATTTTGAAGTTTTCAGGAATGGCACGTTCATCAGTCCATCAGCTGTGATCGGATACAGCTCAGTGCAAGCAGCATCGCTCACAGATGAATGCAGTTTAAGGACCAATGGAAGCACAAGTTGCTGACTGCAAAATTTCACTTAACACAGGCGTTTAAATGAAATGCCTTCATTTCTAAAAAGCGGCGCACTTCTCTGTGCAGCATGCACCAGAATTGCGCTTTAATGACATTCACATGGTGTTAGTTTACCTACCATTTAGATTAATAGATTTATCAGAGAACCAAAAACGTAAAACCGTGCGTAACTATAACTGTGACTATAAATAGATTCATTGTAAATCCATGCAACCAAAATGTATTTCTTGATTTAAAAAAAAAAAAATCTGTTCTGAAGTTGTTAAACATGATCTAACCAGAAAATGTCTCCTTTGAGCTGCTTTATCCATCAAACAGCCAAACGACGAAGACAAAGAATAGACCACAGCTTCGGGACCAAATGAAAAACAGTCCCATATTCTTAAAATCTCACTTTGTGAGCTGCAAAGATGGCTCATAAGAATTTCAATTTCTTCTTCTTCTTCCTCTTCTTCTTTTGATTTTTTTAATCTTTCACATCTCTTAAGTGTCGTTCTGCCTGCACAATCTAACTTTTGCGCGAAAATCTTTTTTTTTTTTGCTAAGCTCCATCAGTCATTAAATCGATGACTTCAAACACCAGTTGTATCTAATCAGCCTATCATTTAATATTTCATGAATTTAGAGTTAAAATAAACTTTTAATTTCTAAGGAGGGGAAATAAAATCCTACCATCACTGTCGAAATGTTTCCAAATGTCGAGGAACTGGGACGCGGTGACCTCGGCCAGGTGCAGGTGAGGAGGCTGCTGAGCTTTGTTTGCCATGATGCTCTCGACCGATGCTGCTGCAAGTCAGACGCGACAAAAATCCGCTACTAACTTTTCTGTGTCTTCTTCAAACACGCCCCACACTGTGGCCCCAGCGCGCCGCCCGCCGCTTTTTAACCTCGGCGCAGGAGCGGTAGCACCGCTGCACGACCACTGGGGGCGCACTGCCACCGACAGTGTACATCTGACTCAGCGTCCCAGCGTATGTGCTTCCAAGCTTGATGTAGCTGTGTGATAGGACGTCTTGGGCACTGCAGTAGGCTGATGAGTGTGTGTGTATGTGTGTGAGAGAGCGGGAGAGAGATGCAGATAGTGAGCAGATTGACTTTTTCGCCATTGTATCATCATTCATCTCAGATCCCGTGTGTGTGTTTAATCTGTTGCAATGCATACATGCGAGCTCACGCATTTCTGTATGCAGGGGAAAGGCATACGTGTGTGTGTTCTCCTTCCCAGCGTGCAGCTCCCCGAGCCTGTCTGTCAGCGCGTGAGGCTTCACAGACTTAATTAGAACTCACACACTAATCACATTTCCCACACCACCTCCAGCCAGCGGTGATTAGCCCCCATAACAAATGTAAATTCTGGGGGAAAAGGGGGATTTTCATTAATGGCCAGTCTTGTGTGCAAAGCAAGACCACAGATCCTATTAGCGGAATGAGGCTTGGAGGGAAAAATGGACTCTTATATATTTCTTTAACTATTTGCTGCAAAAGGGGATAATATTCAAAATGAACTCATAACACCATAATGAGCAGGAGGGCAAGCATCCCCAGAAGCATCTTCATGCTGCTGGATGAAATGTGTAAGAAGAAAGCTTATGCACATGAAGTAAAGAATATTTCCCTTTCGCACTCAGTTGTGCTTGAAATCCTGTAAGACATGGGTCCTTCGAGCCTTCCTGGCAGATGTCAGTCAATACTTTAACAGCTATTATTTTTAAACTGTAAAGTAGTCAGTAGATGTAACTACAGCATCAAAAATGTCTCTTTTTCATCTTGTTGCCAAGTGAGTCATGCCAATATGCAAACACAAAATAAAGCTTATGGGGCAGAAATAATTTAAAAGACTGCACTCTAGTTAAGTGATTAACTGAACTTTTCCTTTTTCCTGCTAAAACTTCTTTAAACACTAGAACTGATTCAATGAAAATTTGAATTTGAATGAGGATCTTTTTCATATCAGTTAAAAAATAACTTAATTATTTATTATTTTTGGTCACTTAAGGACTTTTTCAAACAGGAAACTGATATATAAACACTCTTTCAGTATCTGAAGTATTTAAACAGATAGCAGATTTATTACAATAATAATATTCATCTAACATCCCATTTTGTGCCACCTTTGGATACTTTGTTACATATTCACTCTTCTGTTTGCTCTTCTGTTTGGTTCAATTCATGTCAGTGCTATTGTTATAGTGCCAATTCACAACAACAGTTACCTGACGATGCTTTATAATGTAAGGTAAATGACCCTTACATTGATAAAACCCTGTTTTCTACAGTCATTGGTCTCCACTGATTCCAAACGGAAAGTTTTGTCTCCATAGCACATAAATGCTGCATTAGGTTTGCTGGCTACTGATATTATAGCTTATTAATCCTCTGTTTTAAGAGTCAGCTGAGAAGCTTGAAGCTGTCCAGTATGAGCTTCAGACTGGGAGCTGGTGATTGAAGTAATTAGTCGAGTGTAGTAAAAAGACTGGAGTTATAATAAATGGACAAAAGCATTACATCACATACTTCATCTCTGCTACAGAATCTGATGTCATGAAGCACTGAGCACACAGTTTTTGTGCTGATGTTAATGTCAGAGCAGGTTTGGAAGTAGGAGACGCTGCTTTATATGGGATATCTAGGAGGGATTAAATGTCCCGCACTGATTTGTTACAATGAGGGCATAGTATTACAGTCCTACACTTGAATTTCAGTGAGCTCTTTACAACGCTCAGGTCTTTCACAAGTGTTTGTGCAGGTAGACTGCACTTGGTTTTTGATACAGCTGTGGCAATGGGCTAGAAAACGCCTGAATTCAAAGATAAAGTGCTGGAGCCCAACACTTTTGTCTGCGTAGTGCATGTGGAATTAACTGGCCTGACTGGTCTTTCTCTAAAGTCTAAAGTCATTTCATCCAGCAGCATGAACATACGGTAAGTCCTAATCATAACTTTAAAATGCACTAAATAACATTTTTAATTAATTTATGGCATAAGTAGGCAAAGGAAAGTGCATATATTTGTTTATTATTTGGTTCAAGGTACCTACCAGCTTCATATAATATAATGATCCCCACACTGTAGTAAAAGGGGAATACCAGAGGTGTTGGTAGTTGAATATATAGCTAGTAGGTTCACCTTTTTAAAAATATTTACATGATTCCATGCAAATTTAGAGGGTGTTGTCTTCAGGGTTATTCAGTTTGCAATTTTTTGTGCTACATTTGAAGTGTTTTTGTCCACAGGCTGGGTAGACCTATTTTCTATGAAAATTAAATTCAGTGAATAAGGATCCATGTTTACTTTTACACAAACGCTTCAAACCATATTCCAGACTCATAGTCTCTCTCTCTCACTCTCTGATCGACAGCTTTATTAGTAGAGCTCTGCAAGGTTTTGCCCTTGTGGGACAATTTGCACATTACAGTGCTGTCTGCGCTGTTTGTTTGAATTTTGTTGCAATCAATCAAGACCAGTACACAACTTGAAGCTGCAGGCAAATAATTAAGATAATCCAGATAAAATGAGATAAACCACGCCATTAGCTGCAGCGCTGAGTTTGACTTGTCACATCCCCACAGAGTTGGAGCAGTAATTTTCCAGCTCCACCCTGCACACTGGTACAGTGCTGACACACTGCTGGCAGCTGACACGATTTGGAGGCAGCGTGTGAAAGTCAGCAGAGACATTCCCTCACTAACGCTGTTCCTCGGGTTTGTAAGAGTCACATTCAGTAACAGGACAGGAGGGGCACTGCTGCCCCGATATGAGCACAGGTACATGACAGTCTATAAGGGCACAGGGTGTGTGAGTGAGACAAAGGCTGAGTGTGTGACAATGTGTGACAGTGTTTAAAAGTGTCAACTCAGCAGAGCTGTCCCGCTCTATTTCCTCAGCTTCTCTTTTCACCCTATAATAATCAATAACGGGCCCCAGCCTCAGTTGGCACAGCAACAATAGATAGATCAACATTACATTACAGATGAAGCCTGTCAGCAGCCGTAGAGACTGAAGAGTCAAAGCACTTTGTTCTCCTCTCTTATTCTCTTTTAGTCGCTCCCATCATCTATGCTTTTCTGTGTCCCGTTTCCACTTCCTCTCATCCCAAAGCAGAGAGAGAGCTATTTGAATCTTACATATCTTTGAAGATGTCTTGTGTTTTGCTGTGCAGTTAAGTTGCGACTCTTTTTTACGAGTATGTGCAAATACAATCAAGCTCAGTGGTGTGTTGTTTGGCTCTTGGGCTCATTTGTATTAATATTTCAGCTCCACAGACGGCTGCACGCTGTATGTAGATGAATTATATAAGAGAGTGGAGAGGTAGGGTGGACGGAACAGCCATTTTCGCTTTATCTCAATCTGACTCTGACCTCATCTGTTTGAAGTATGTTTAGAGTGAAGGATTGAAAGAGTGTGGCGCTGCAGACAGAGAGTGTGTAGATGTGTTGATGAGGTGTGTGCTTTGTTTGGGGCTATGTTTGCCTTTATCTCGCTGTTCACTGAACCTCATTATCGTTGAAAGAGGAAGAAAGTCCTTTTCTCCTTGAAACTGACTTCCATATTGATTGATTTTGGGCTGTACCCCTGTAGTAGCCTGCTTGCACACGCACACACACACACAAACAATGACCAATGTGTGCAGTTACCCATGGCAAAGAAAAAATGCAATTACCCAGATGTCATCTCCAAATTTTTATTTAATAGCAGCAAAAGCTGGTGTGGCAAATAATTGCTTTGCTAGAGTGCATTGTTATATAAGTGAATACAATTCTAACCTGAGACCTCAGTACTTTAAATAAGATCAACAAACAACACATAACGGTTAATTCATCCAATAAAGTACAACCACAAGAAAGACCAGAAAACCGGAGACTAAAACAAATTGCCAAATTTGGACTGCTGAGCTTGTATTTTTCCGGCCTTTCCAGTGAATGAGATGGTCAAGACAAGCTGGCAGGCAAACTTGTTCCAGATGAGCACAGAAAAGATTGAAAACTGCAGGTATTCCAGCCCTCTCTGATGTTACAGTGTTAAGGCCTCACAGTGTGCAAATAAAGCAGTCCACTAAAGAAAAAAACCCTCACACATCACAACCATTTAACAAGACTGCTGGTATATCTTTCAGACTATACCGTGTGCTTTTTGTGTGATTAGTTAGATTTCTCTCTATGTATGATATATGTATGGTATAAATATATATATATATATATATAACTGTAACTGCTGATCTACAGTAAGAGATTACTAAAACCATGTGCTTTTCATTTTTTGACAAACTTTTAAGAAACTCATTGATTTCTTCTTTAAATATTAGGAATGATATCAGAGATTGGCCTATTTATTTGTAGGCCAGTATTATATGATAAATACATTGGATAGATATGTAGTCTGCCTGCTTAGAAATATAAAACTCTTGATTAAAATGTATAATAAATATGCCCACATTGATTTACAGGTAAAATAATTATTAAAAGTGCATCCTTAACAAGAAGAAACCACTAAATAATGCCAGTTGATAAGTCCAGTCCATAAGCTAATAGGGTTTTCCACATGCACCTGAAACAGATAAATGGTGGATTCATAGGTAGTAGATGCTCACATTGCTCTCGCTAAAGACAAACTGCAGCATGCATGCATGCATGCAGCAAAAATATGAGTGGGAGAGAGGAAGGAAGGCGTAAACTAACCATCAAATCTTAAAGGTTTGGATTCACTCAGATACTCAAGTCTGGTTTTCAACAAGGACCCAGATTGAAATTTGCTGCCACTGTGATAATAATAGGGAGTACAGGGAAAACCCCAGCTACCCTGCGGCACTTACATTAGGAGAGAAATGCACACCGGTGGTTGTAAAAGTATTACTATTACAGTTATTTATCTGTGATATCTGAGACTGTGGAAAGTTGAAACATTGGAATGAATGCATGGATTCAGGCTTACGTTTCCTGGATCACATTTGTTGATTTGTGCAGCTCTTGCTGAGGTAGTGCTAAATCCCTTAAAATCTTAAACCTTATAACTTCTCCTAAATGTCCACTTTACCCAATAGGAAATAATAATCTATCCCCCAAAGCACCATTTTTACCTTTTGTTCAAAGCTATGATTATTCTGTCACCACAAATTTGACTGTAAGGCCTAAAATGTTCTATTGGTCCATCAGATTGTAGATGATGTTACTAGAGCTTGGCTATAAGGCGGCTCACAAGATTCTGGAGCTCCTGAGTCCTGCGCTCAGTAGTCTTCAGCACTTCTGTGTGATTTGCTTTTTCATTGCTCTCATAATCTGTCACAACCTTGTTGGTGATGAGGGACAGGCCCAAGACACGTAAGCGACGGTCAGGAGCCACGTCCTCCTGGACACGTGTGCCACAGTGACGAGCCACCACCACCTCCGGGACTGTGCTCATACCTAGACAGAGGGTAGAGGTTGACATTTAATTGAGTACATAAAAACATTCCTTTACATCTCAGTTAGTACTGAACCTTGAAAGAGACACGTTAAAAAGAAAAGGTGGTTTGACTTCAGCACTGTGGTATAGGTCACACAGGATCCTTCATTTCACAAAATGCAACTTTATAGCAATTTCTATTAGATCATCCCTGCTTAATTAATCTCCATGGCTTGGCTTTCTCTTATAAATGTGTAGTTACCAACCCAAATCAAGCTAACACCTCACAGAACACAACGAACATGCCATAACAAGTAGGCTTAAACTTAAGTGTAAAAGTAGTACTAAGATAGTTTTAAAAATTGTGATAGTGGCCCTCCTCTGAGCAGCAAAACAAGCCAATATGACTATATTATTAAAGTCATAAATAAACATAGGTATATCCAATGTTTTAGCAAACAGTTGCTTATTAAGAATTCATTTGGAGTCATTTTCTTATCGCTATATGATGTATTTAATATCCTAATTAACTTGTCTGCCATTTGTTGCTGCGTCTGTAGCATAAAGTGGCTTTTTAGCTGCCTGTTTTACTGTGAGGCAAAATAGTAAAGTTATGGGACAGACAAACCAATAAAGCGTTGGTGAACTACAGTTAACTGCAGAGTCGAGTGATAGTCATCCTTCAGTTTTAAATATAGTCATTTGAAGTCCTGTTGAATTTTTTTAAAAGGATTATGGCAGTGAAAGTTCATGAACTTAGACATTCATTTTTATTAGCTATCTTGTAATAACTATTCTGTCATAAATGGCATATATCTATAATTTAGCAACTACTCTGGCTGTGAACTGACATATGTAAAAGTAAACTATAGTAAAACTCAAAAAGATAATGAACCCAGGTAACAACTTTCAAAATGTATCATCTTTTTCTGCCAATTTTACTACACAGAAAATATTTACCATTAAACATGCTACATTTACTGCAACTGATCTGATGTAGTTAAAACTGGTTTATATCAAGTTCTTGCTTTGTAGGACATGAAAGTCTAAATCACATTATGATGCATAATAACACAAACAAAACATCAATTGCTATACAGTGAAAAAAGAGTAAGAGGGTGTATGCTGTGATGTATATGATGTGAACCGGTGGTTACAAGGATGAAAAAATGATCTCTGATGATAGCTGATTTTTCAAGTTGGTACTGAAAAAGGTGCACGTGAAACTGATTTAGTCATGAGGTGTCTTGTGTTGTGCCCCTTAAGCGGAGCAGTAAGTGTTGGAAAGGAGTTATTGGTTTGAATTTGAAAGTAAAATTTAATGGCATTATTATCTGTGTAAATTAAAGAAAGTCAGGGTACTCGATCCATGTGCACAGGTGGAAATGAATCATATGAGCTCTATGATGTGTTCTTGGTTCAGTAATATCTCTTGTAGTGAGGGAACAAACTGAGAGGAAGTAGCACAGCAAACTGGGAGGCAGTGTTACGGCTCCCAGTTTGATCTCCACCAAATTATTTAGAATTAGAATTTATTCATGGATGGATCTAAAGAGCACAAGTGAATAAACTGTAATGAAGGCAAACAATAAGCAAGTCCAATCACGTAACATAAACCTCCTTCTGTATTGTCATAACAGCAAATCACAAATAACACTACTCAGATAGTTTTTCTGATTTGTTCCAGTCATAGCCTGAATCCAAACCATTTAATGTTGACTTGTAGACTCTGCATGTATAAATTATTATTTTAACCACGGAGCTGAATTATTTAAATAAGAAAACAGAGCTTGTATTTAAACCAACTTCACCTTCAAAAACACAAAAGTATTGTGCAGTATAATTGTGTGTAACTGTATACTACCACATAATGTGCAAAAACAAGTGTGGGGGGAAAGAAACAGGGGAATTAGAAGAAGCGTTTTCAAGAGTGAAGAATTGCAAAGTCATTCATACTGTATGACTTTGTAAAAACTGGAGGTTATGTAATAATAACAGGAGAGCCAGGTGCCAAGTTGGTCTGTCAATGATCTGAACAAATAAGTAACAAATACAGACTCATACATAATACATAATAGATCACTAGGAGGACCAAATGAAAAATACTATCCTTTATGCAAAACAACATTTTGCATGCATAGATTTTGAAGTCATTTTTAGGTCTTTAATTTAGTTAAGCCATCATATCTTGTGTACCTTTAAGTCTGGGGTTCAATATCGGACAATTGAACCAGACAGGAAAACTCTGTAGTATCACATAAGCTTGTTTTTGCACTGTCCTGTGAATCAGGTGAAAATTGATGCTTTTCCCATATGGAAAAGAAATAGTAAAAACTTATAAAAGACTTGCATAAGATGTGGCCTACTTCATATAGTGAATCATATAAGGCTTATATGATTTACTCATGAAAGTGGCCACTTTCTCATTACTTTTATATATTGTTTTAGTAAGTATCCAAAACATACAAGTCTCATTTATATAATTTTTTCAAGGGATCTTATATCTGTTTTCACTCAAGACAGATACAAACTTTATAAGATTTATATATATCTTTTCCATATGGGTTAGCTTCCACTAGTTCCAACTGTTGGGGTAATATTACTGCAGAAATTTAACTGTTGGTACATCTTCAAAGTAATTCGTCTCTCCGTATTCATATTTTTTTAATGTCTGTATGGTGGCTCTTGTAGATGTACTGTTATGAAGTTTTAACCCTTTATGGTACCTTTTAAAAGGACACTATCTGAACTGAGGATGAAGGAGCTGTACTAACCCACAGCATCAGCCCCCAGCCTCTGCAAGAGTTTGCACTCAGCAATGGTTTCATATGTTGGGCCAGCCAACATGCAGTATACCCCTTCCTGCAGGAAGCTGTCATAGCCCAGTTCCTTTGCTGTTTTTCTGGTCAGGGCTCTCAGGTCACGGTCATATGCATCTGACATGCATGGGAACCGCACTCCAAACCTGCAGGGATAATTAATGCATGAATGAGACACAGGAGTAATGTATAAGATACAGATTTTCCTTTCACTGCCCTGCCCGAGTGTTTCTGTACCTCTCATCATTGTGCCCACACAGAGGGTTCTGTCCTGCAAATCCGGGCATGTTGATGTGATCTTTAATGAGCATGATGTCTCCCACACTGTAGGTGTCATTGAGTCCTCCTGCTGCATTTGTCACAATCAGAGTGCTCACACCCAGCAGATAGAAGACTCGCACTGGGTAAGTCACCTGGAAAGATAAAAATTGTATGCTTCAGAGACAGCAGCTGTCACTCTTTTATGGTCTCAGTGTTTGTCAGTAAATTACAGAAGGGAGTTACAGGTAACCTGGGAATAATAGCAAAGCAAACAATTCATCATATGAAGCAAACATTATAAAAGTGCCAGCTTCTTTATGCACTGATGTCAGTAAGATTTTTATTACTGTAGGTTTTTGCGCATGTGTGGTACAGTGGTGGTTCTGTGCTAACCTTTATATGGCAACTGATGGCCCATAAATGACTGTTGCTACTTTTCACTGCAGTCACATTTAGAAATTGTTTTTTTCTATTTCACATTCCCCTAGAGATTGAATTGCCTATGAAAGTGCTCTGCTAGTTAGTGCAGAAATGTTATCGAGTAGCTTGCTATCTTGATAAGGTCAGTGCTGTCACTTTGGAACATTGGTATGCTTGATATAGGATTTGCATATTATAAGCCCACAACAAACTTTGTTCCATGGACAAAATTTAAGCAGAGCCGTGTGTAATAACAGGACTGCAGAACCTCTAAAAGCAAACAAATGATATAATGTTTGGTGGAATACTTCTTCTAAAAAAACATATTCATTGTATAAGACAAAGTAATCAATTATAGGCACTTATTATTGCTGGTGTAATCTTTACTATACTAAATGTTTCAGATGAGTGTATTGCCATGGTAACAATAGCTGATCCGCCTAACCACAAGACAGTTGTGATAAGCGTGTCTTTAATTTGGCAGATATTCTGTCATTAAGCAAAGTACTGGAACAATTAAAATGTGCGGACAAACATCAGAGTGACACTGAGCCATGCAGTTACTGTACATGGTTAATAAAAACATCCCATCTAATGTTATCTTGGCTTTATTTTTTTCAGGTTGCCAAGTAGGACTTAAGGACCATAACACAGGACAAAGTCCAGTACATTCTCCGAGTGCGCCCCAGGGTGGCTGTGGCTACAATGTAGCTTGAGTGTGTGAATGTGTGTGTGAATGGGTGGATGACTGGATATGTAAAGCGCTTTGGGGTCCTTAGGGACTAGTAAAGCGCTATATAAATACAGGCCATTTACCATTTTACCATTTACCAGAAAAGCAAATTTGTAATAGAAAATTTTACTTAAGCTGGCATAGGTGGGGGGTGGCATATGCAGACGATTCATCTAGAGACATTTAAAATGTTGTTTGTCTATACTTCTAACTGGATATAAGAGGACTATAAAGCATCTGACCTTCTGTTACTATAAAAAAATGTGTCTTTATGATTCAGGGGGGTCATATGGAGAATTTTATGTGGATATGGCATGTGAAAGCGGGTAATAAAAGTCAAACCAGGATACAGTCTCCACAGGCCAAAGGGCAATCCAATGTGACACACTGGTTGTCATCTCAGCACTTCAGCTGATCATTCTACAAACTTGGTAAATTGTTACCTCAAGTTGTACCTATCCTTGATCCTTGATGTCATACACCCAAATTTCCCCTTGTGGGACAATTAAAGGATTATTCTATTCTATTCTATTCTATTCTATTCTATGTAAGTGCTTATTAAAAGTCACTAGGCTATTTGGGAGAAAGTCTTAACCCTCTCAAGGCAGGCGTTGCCGATTTGCAACAGTTAAAAACTAACAACCTGATTACCCCACATACATATTTTATGAGGTTTTTTTTACTCAGAAGTACCACTGCAGGACTTGGTTGTGCATTAGCAACAAAAAGTTTAATATGAGCCTGAGAGGGTTAATTGTCTCAGAGAACAGCTTTCTCTCATAGAATATAAGCTTTATGATAGAAAGTCTGATTTTGACTCATCAATTTAAAGAGCAACAATCTATTTTGAAGGCAGTTTGAACTGCATGTTTTTCTCAGTGTGACTGACTATGTCAGAATTTAAACAGCTGGCTGAATTCTACAGTACAGTGCATCGTTTGCATCAGCAAGGTCTCAAGACACAGAAGCGAGTTGGGTTGTGTAATGGAAATGTTGTATTTGTTCCAGAGTTGCTTGTTTTTTCACAGCACAATAATGCTGATTCATGAGTTATGAAACTATTCTATGAAACATGATTGATACAGTCTTGAAGACCCTGAATGTTCTGCTGAGGGAACGACTACACCATATGAATGTGAAATGAGTACACCACTTCGACTGTGTGCCGAGCCAGAGTCTCAGTCCCATATGCATATAATAACCTTTTTAATGAAAACTCTGAATGATGACTGCTTTTTATTTGTCTTGTTCTTTCGTTACTGGATTTCTTCTGTAATTTGGGATAGAAATTGTGACAGAAAGCTGCTCATGAGGCAAAGCAATAACAAATAAATGTCTATCTTTGCACATTTTCACATGGAGGCCATTCAAAATGCAGTTAGATCAAATATAATCCCAGCAGAGCAGAGCATGGAAGTGGACAATTAATGGATTACATCCCAAAGAGTAAACACCAGGTATCTGCTACTTACAGTAGCTCAAAGAAAACACCAAGCTTTCTTAACATAAGCAGAATACGCAACTAAAGCTCCCCACACAAGACTGGTCCACACACTGACTAAACAGCTCTTCACTTGCTTATATGCTGCTAGGTGGCTGATTGCTGAATAAAGCCAGCTGTCCACTGGCTCCTCGGGCGAGCTGGGTGGAAGCTAAACTACTGGATGAGAAAAACGCACCCACACAACACACAGACTTGCTAGGGCTGTAACAAATATAAAACTCATATCAGAGACATGACTGTTGTTAGCCATACTAGCCTCACTGCTATTTAGATGATTAAAAACAGTCATGTCTCTGTATTTACTGCAGACTGAAATAGTTTAACTTTTGCTTTGTGTGGAACCAACATTTTCTTAGAACTGCAGCTATTTATAATTGTAATCCCACAACGCCAGTTTAAATATTGGTAATTTATTACTTATTTTTATTGTGAAATAACTATACACTCTATATAAGATGGCTGTAGCCAATGTGACATCAGAAAAGAAAAAGATGGTCTAATCTGGGTAATAAAAGGTACCACAAGCAGTAGATTATCTCTACATACTGCTGCTTACCGTTTGTATGTTGTAACCCTCGTAGAAATGGAATCTCCCCTGCATACAGACACACTCGCAGCCATTCAGCTTGCCAAACACCAGCTGCCCTGCATGACCCTGCACTGCACAGCACACGTGTAGCATTAGCCATTGCTGGCATGAATATGCACACTGTCCAGACAGTAATAATGAGTTTTAGGAAACCGCTTACCAGTGCTGGTGGGAAAACGCGGAATATCCTCATATTTGAACACTGTCTTCTCCTCCAGCAGATCAGCTAGACCGCCCAGGCCTGAACCACAGATGATGGCCACTTTGGGACGCTGCTTTGTACGGTTAAGCAGCCAGTCCGCTGTCTCCTTATAGTCTTCATAACTGTATATGAAAGTGTTAAGGAACATAAACAATATCAAGTCGACATGTGCAGCTTTAACTGAGAATACAAAAGTAAGACATTGTTGAAAACAGAAGAACCAGCAGAACGGCTTCAACTGAAAGTTGTTTTAACTTCTATAGGCAATCATTAAAAGTCAGAACTCTAAAAAATAGAAAGATTAATCAGTTTTGTTCAGTTAAGGCTTTTCTGTGTGGATCAACTAGCCTGACCTGTCTATCCAGCTAAAGTATGTCCCTTTGTGATGACAAAGCTAATGCTCATTGTCTCACTGGTTGCACTGGTAGAGTTACCCACTATTCAGCAACAGCGATGTTAAAGACAAGTGAAAAGATCATCTGGAGGAGAAATGTGGGAGTAAAAACCCACAGAAATGAACACTGTAAAAATATGATTCAATGATGCAGGGTGCAACACACTGAAGGGCTTTTACTTTGCTATTTTGAGTGCACCAGGCAAATTATAATTCAGGGGTGCTGATTTGATTGGGAATGCCCCAAGGTACTACATTATATAAAGCCTGAACCAGTCTGTAATTCTGGTTATAAATGTGGTAGTAAAGCTATAACCTTGTTAATGTTCCCTCAATGCCTCAAGTCAAGCCTTGTTGTTAAAATACAGGGACACTTCAGGCCGTGGCCTTTACCAGATCAAGCTGAAGCAGGGGAAAGCCCAAAGACTCTAGAAATCCCATCTAAGATATATGCTATATCTGATTAGAATTAGATGTTCTGGCTTATCTTTTCCATATTCCACCTGTTTCTTTGCTAAAAACCTAGCATGGAATTATTTTAGCAACAGTAGAAGTTTTGGCAACTGGGATGGAGAGTTCAATCAAAGTCATAAAATTTCCATGAAGTAAGAAAGTGGGCCAGCTGCCAAATATATCAGGGGCCTATGCATCAAAAATGTTATCCAGAAGAAAGAAACTGAAAGTAACTGAATCATTATCCAGTCTGTCAGTTGCAATCGTGGCTCTATAACTAATTCTTCAGGTGGTAATTTTCAGCTTTGTACAAGAACACCAGTCAGGTAGATTAACACATGGCTGTACGAACGTCTGCTGGATTAGAAGGTGGAGAATAAATGACAGCATGCCAGGTTATTTAACCATTGCATGTTTGTTTTTTTATCAGTGATTTATAAACCCAAGCAATGGAAACATGGAGACATCAGCAGGGGTGTATAATATGTAGCATAACAATAAAACCATCTCTTATTCAGCAAGAACATGATGACAGCTCTCATTCCTGTAATTCTGCTGTAACCTTTTATTTAAGGGGAAGTAAACTTTCCCCATAAACAAGATGAATTTACTTTTGAGTGGCCAACTAGACTTACCAAATAACAATTATAAGAACTTGATGTTTAGCCATCTTTGTATGATGGTGTTAATCTGTTAGATTATCCTGTTTTTTAAATTACATAATAACCTTACAGTTTCTACTATGTGTTAGCATTTTAAAGTCATGTCAAAATGACAGCTTGTAAAAAAACTGTGAAAAACTCAGTACAATCCATGTTTCATTACCTAAACCAAATTTAGTTGCAATAAGTTAAAGTAGCTGTTTTCCGTGTCATCCTCTACAGTAGCTTCTAATTTTACAGAGCAGAATCTTAAAAGCAGAACCTCTATAAAGCCTTCTGCTTTTGTAGAGCTAATAACACCTGGATGTTATTTACTTTTTTAGCCCTGTGGCAGTAGTTTTTCACAGCTACCTAGCAACATATAGAGTAATATATGGGTAAGCCAGTACATTTTATTTCGATTTTTCTCCTACCTGCCTTTCAATTGAGCTCAATGTTTATCTAGGTTACGTTTGTCTTTGAGCTCACTTTGTGATTATGTTCAATTATACAACAGCAAGCAGGAAGTGAGTTTGTAAGGGCTCTCCTTCCCTTGAACTGGTGGGCTGGTATCGTGTGGAGCTGTCCGTGGTGCTGCGGGAAATTTGTATTCAGGCTCTGAAGCCTGACTGCCACATATTTCTGGCATTCCGAACACAAAGTCCCGAAAACACAAAAGGCAGCTTGACTAGTCGCGGTAGTTGCTAAGCCCCAGGCTTTGAATTAGACACACAAGACAGGCCTGTAAAGTAGGCGAACATGCAACCAGTCTGACTAGATCCTTATGATAGATAGCAATGACATTTGCATTTTTATATATTAACAATGCGGGTTATTCTTCCCTCACGCTGTAGGTAAAGGCTTCCACCTGTCATATTACGACAAGCTCACTTCATAAGAGGAAAACCCTCATTGGCTGGTCTAATCTTCAGAAATAAGCGTCCTGTCACTTTTGCCTTCATTATACGTTTCTCAAAACGCACAAAATGCTTTATGTAAATCTTAGGATTTATTCTTTAGACCCCCTTCAACACCGTCCACATTCCAATTAGACAGCGTAGTGGCCTTGACAATCATTAGGCTCTTTTCACTAACATCCAGCCCTGTCATTCCTACCTGCAGTGACTGCTGGAGGGGTTTGCCGCTTCCATATCCGACGAGGGCGACGATAAGGTCCCGTTTAGTGTTTATTTTCACAGGTGCTTCCCGTGTATGGTAAGCCAGTTAAAGCCGCCGATGGAGACTCTTCTGCTTGGGTGGACGGAGTGGGGAGGGGGTGTTGCGCGTTGACGTCAAGACATTTCGTAGGGGATGGGGGCGGGGCTTACACAGAGTGCCGGTCGCACTTTGAAGAATACAAAATCCAATTTTCCAGCCGACTGGGCAATTTACTGATCCGTTTCTCATGACGAGACAAGACCGGGAACAGAGGGAGAAACAGTGAGAGGGCGACAGAGAAGAAGGGAAAGGAAAAGATAAGGAAATAATAATAATAAGATAAAATCTAAACAGTAATGTTGTGGATTTTTTTTTGTTATTGTTTTTTACCCCACAAATATAAACAAACATTTCAGATTTCAGATGTTCCATTGAACACCAGTTCGGGGAAATCCCGCATGTGTCTGAAGCATGCTGTACAAATAGTGGCTCTGACTAACAATTCAAAGTGCTGACTCAGGGATTAGTAGAAAAGAATGAACGTGAAAACACACAAAAACCTAATACAAAGCAGTGACACAAGGCATAAGAAAAGGGGAGCAATGTACTGCATGTAATTACAGAGACAGGATAAAGTAAGGTAAATACAAAGCTTATTTGTTTAATATTTTATCTTAAAAAATCACGAGTTTACAATTAACAGGTCTAGTTATGGGTTAAAGCCAACAACTCATAAACCATAAACATTCCAGAAAAAGTGAAAAATAGTTTAGTATAACATTTCAACTTAAATATGAATAGTTCCTATTTAATGCAACTTCTTTGCATTTATTTTTTTTCATTTATTCACATGGGACAAGTTAGAAACCAAAACATGTCATGGTGGTGTTGTGTAGCAGGCTGGAGTTGGACCCAGATGCAAGACTCGAACACAAAAGAGATTACTGAAAGAGGCAGCTTTTATTTGCAGCAACAAAGCACTAAACTAAATACATGAAAACAAAACCTAACATTGGAAACTGAGAACTGAAAACTAGAAACGTACAATAAAAAACTAGGAACTGGGGAGAAAGCAAGGAGAAGTCAATGGCCAGCGTTGGTATTGGCGCTATTGGCGTGGTGTGGCGTGGTGGTAGTATCGGACGGAGGCCCTTGGGCGGATTGAATGGTGGCTGGTATTGACAGGGATGGGAACCCTTGAGCAGTGCAGGATTGGGCAGTGCAGTGACCACTGGTTCAGGCAGAGATAAACCAGATGGAGCAAGGACCTCTGGTGGAGCAGAACCAGAAAGTGCAAAGAGCTCTGGCTAGCTGGAGCTGTGCAGGGTACACAGCCTGTTAAGGGTGCGGCGGCTAGGGCTACACAGCACATGAGGCTTCGCAGGCTCAGGCTGCAATGTGGAGACCATGGCTAGCTGGGCAAGCTCGCCTGACCCCCAGCGGAGACAGGTGACTGGGACGCCTCAGCTGAGCCCCCAGCAGAGAATGAAACGAGAACCTCCGGGGGACCAGAACAATCTAAGGCCTCAAACTCAGTCTCTGAATTCCAGTGTTGGGTAAGTTACTTTAAATTAGTAACTTAGTTACATTACTAGTTACTTCTCTCAAAAGTAACTCAGTTACTTCAAGTTACTCGTTACTTTCAAAGTAACTAGTTACTAGGGAAAGTAACTTTGGTTTTACTCAGAATTCTCTTGTTAATGTGTTGCTTCCGTAACTGGATACCCAGTGAGATTGCCAGTCTTCTAGCTTGCTTACTTGCCAAAGGTGCACTGTGCCACCTACCAATAGAAAGGAAAAAATGATGTGCATATTTCCACGAGCGAAATCCCACACCTGGACCATCATTGACCGCCACCATGATTCTAGCCTACGTCACAGCGTCACGTGCGCTTTTTACATCCAACACGAAAACTGCAGTTGTGGTGCTTTCGATTGTACTCAGAACTCGGAAATTCTGCCTTCCGAATAGGAAGATGTAGGTAACACCAGACTGCAGATGAGCTGCATACAGAGCTGGACTGGGACAAAAAATCGGCCCGGGCATTTTGACTAGAGACCGGCCCACCATTATAGGAAAAATCATAAAGCCTTTGAATGAAAACTAAACACTGTTGTGACAGTGATGTACACTGTTCTGATGGTATATATGCATCAATCTATCAATCGTTTGTTGTAAGATTCAGATAATTATTTTTTAAAAGCTAGACATTTTAAATGAGAATAAGAAAGTATTTCTTTGTGCCCCCTCTCCCTGTTAATGCCCTACCTGCCCCCCTGGCAACACTTTGCTAGACCCGCCCCTGCACAGTTACCAGCTGTCAGCTACATAGAAAAGGATCCTGGTGTTATTTGTCTCTCAGAAACAGTTCATAACTTCCCTTCAACTCATTCATGTCACCTAAAAGGTAAACCTGTTTCTCCATCACCTGTTCAGCTCTGATGATCTCAGTAAGGACATCTCCTGGTTTCATCTTCATGTTTCCCTCTCACCAATAACCAAACCGATATCATGACCAGCAGCTTTACAGCTGTGGCTCCAGCAAACATCAGCTGATACTAGAAATTAATATTAAATAAATTCTAACAACAGCTGATCAAGCTTAAACGTGCTGCTGTTGTTTAGCGCGACATCCGCTGGTTTCCTCTTTCTGGCGCAAAGTGGGCGATAAACAAACAAGAGAGAAAAGCCGATCAGCTGATCATTGATCAGTTTCATGATTGAAGTAGAAACAGGAGAGGGAGGGGAGAGAATGAGAGAAGAAGAGGCAGCTGTGCAGCAAAGACACAGAATAACTCCAGCTTTGTGTCTTTTTCATTGTAGCTGAAGTCCGGGACAAACTGTTCCTTTTCACCTCAATAACGAAACGCGTAATATTTTCTCTGAATAGAGACGATTCTGTTTTTACAGGACGGTTGGCAACTCTACTAACTAACTTATGAACAAAATAAAGTTCAACATCATTAACATCATAGCACCACCCAGCTGTATAGAAACTCGTCATGCTAGCTAGTACGCAGTACAGAAAAAGTCAGCATAACGAAAATAAACTCACACCTAAACTTGTTTATATCTGACCCAGACAGACTGCAGGTCATAACTTCTTACCTGAAGTTCAGTTCACCTGACACTCGGACCTCGGGTCTCTGCTCCTCCTGCCTCCCCTTTCCCTCGTCCACCTGCTGGCCTCCACCACTTGCTAATGAATCTGTGGAAGCTCCGCGATAGCCACCACAAGAAGTAATGAATAACGAGCCTATCTAAATCCCAGTAACGATTAACGCGTTCCTGATTTTGGCATAATAACTAGTTACCGTGCTCATTATCACAATAATAACGTAGTTACCGTAACGCATTACTTAATAACGCGTTAGTCCCTACACTGCTGAATTCCGCCTGGGTAAAGTTTCAGTTTGTAATTGGCCCAGTTTAGCTACACAACAGTTCCAGAAAAACGGTTATTATCCGGAACTGGGTAACAAAGCCTTGGAATAAACAATCTCAAGGCCCTTATCCATTAGCAGCTACTCAGATCGACTCACCCCCTTATCACCACAACTTGGCTTGGATTGACTGGTTTCCCATTACAACCTAGTACTACCTTTTGTGCATGCTTGTCAACATAGCAATGCATCTGCACGTCCCAAGACGTCAATAATGTGCGATACGAAGACTAAAGGTGGACATTCAGGCAAGAATATACCTACTGCTTGGTCTGTGGCTTTTCGTCAGACTCAAGGATCACCGCATTTCTTTTTTTTGGGAGCTATTTCCCTCGTTGCTGGGTTTCAAAGATGACGTTTTTGACTTTCGTGAATGAGAAGCTCTCATGACTCATTGAGTGACACTACTGACCAGCCAATCAGTGTCATGCAGTGTGACGACATCACATTTTAGTACCTGCTCGGATCGTTTGGATCTGAAAAAGTACCAGGTACCAGGTACTATGACCTAATGGAAAACTGTGGTAAACTGTGCCGAGTCAATGCGCGAAGGTACTGACAGAAAAGGGGCTATAAAGTTTCCAGGCTTGGGAGGAGTGTGAAGAAAACAGTCTTCTAAATTCTCTGAGCTGGAGTTACCAGTCTCTGTAGTAATACTTCCAGGCTTGGAAGGAGCATGATGAAAACTTTTTTTTTTTTTTTTTTAAATGGAGGAAACTGCGTCAGAATAAACAGTTTTAGAATCTAAACACTCAGATCAGGACAGCTTTGTCTTTAAAAAAAATCTTGGGACCTGGAGGAGGAGAGACATGGAAAATTTCTTCCGCTGCTGCAGCTGTGGTGATATAGGAGACTCCTGCTGCTGTGGTGAGGTAGTAATGGAGGAATTAAGCTGCAGCGCTGTAGAAGAGGAGGACCAATGACCTGGGCCAGCTCTCAGTGCCTCCTTAGCCCGAGTCAGGGAACAGCCAAAATCCTAAGCTATACATGTAAACAAAACCTAACATTGATTGGAAACTGAGAACTGAAAACTCAAAACCAGGATCAGGAACTGGGGAGAAAGCTAAGAGAAGAGAGGGACACAAGGACAGCAGGGGAATACACAGCAATGTGAGACAACACAACAACAGGCAGAGGAAGACGGTGGACTAAATAGAAAGAGACATGACAGGGAGGAAGCAAAACTGAATACAATAAACACAGGACATGGGACTATCAAAATAAAACAGGAAACATGCACACACACTAAGACGTGGGGTTGACACTGGGACTGGGGACGAGACAGACATAGGGACATAGCCAACTGGGGAGACAGAAAGGAAACACAGAAATCAGACACAGGAGATAAACGAACATGAAGACAAGGGAGACTAAACATGAAATGAGGAAAACGGGGAAAGACTTTGAGCTAGACGGGCTATCGGTTTTTCACCTATCTATCTACATATCTATCTACCTACCAGCTATCAAACTAGCTGGTCAAAATAAAGTGAGTGAAATTCAAAGTCTGGTCTTTTTCAAGTGTGGGCACCTCACAGACAGAGAACACTTGACAGTAAAAACCGCCTGGCCAGTAGAGAAACCGGCCTTGACCAGTGAAGACTCCACAAAAGCTCACCACAAAGACGGAGAAGACTCCACCTGGGGGCCTGGAGGA